AGTGTGCCTTTGTTTTACCACGTTTTGGGCATGAGTCATCACAATGGAATGCAGGGCATCAACCAATAGGCATGCATCTTTCCTCTATTCTTCTTGCTGATTGGCTGTTGGGATTTAACTTGATCAACACCTGCACAGAGCATTTCCACCTGCACAGAGCATTTCTTGCTGATTGGCTGTTGGGATTAACTAATTACACCTGCACAGAGCATTTCCATACTAACAGTATGTCTGTATTCAAATGTTTTGGTAGGTATTTCAAGTCTTTCCTGCTCCAGCATTGGAATGCGGGGCATGGGTACGTTTTTTTCAATTTTGAAAATTAACAGTTTGCATTATGCAATTAAAAATCCTAACCAATAAAGTAGGGAATAGCTATCCAACTGTTGTTTTAGTTGTATTTTACTTCATATTATAGTTATATCAATGTAAATCATTGTTTTCCCTTGTGTTTCTCATTCTTTCCCTGCCATGTCGTAAAATGTGGTGAACCCATCGCTGTATTTGCTCCAAAGCAAATATTGGCCTTTCTAGTTATTTTTCTTATTTCTACTATTTGAAGCCATCCTTTAAGCCTAGTAGAGGGTACTTCATAGTCCAAGAGCCGGTCGGTCCAAAGCTGGTGGTTCAAAGGTTTGATAAACTGAACTTTTTTCACAAATCAACAAAAATATTTAATGTGTAAGTTACTACCATGGGCCAATTTGCGCTTGAAATAAAGAAAAAATAATAATAATACACAAAATAGGGTGTTTTCGCTTGGGATATTATTTGGAAAACTGTACAAATGAATGTTGCGGGTAAAAAGGCGCAAATCTTGATTACATTTCTAAATATATAATGTTCACCGGCGGTTGGATGTGCTGGCATACATTAGAACTTGGTTGGTTACATAAAATTACAATTATATGCAAATTTTTATAATAACGATTAAAAGTCAGTACCATGATAGGCTTATTTTACTCTGATCTAAACTCCTATTTCAGAACGCCCGTGCAATGGCGTATCTGTTGAAAGTACGCTGTAAGAGCATCTACCAGAAGATGGGATTTCACCTCCTAAACCCATCAGCTCTCAGCCATTTTGAGCCGATGGAAGATCGAGTATCAGTGGACAACCCAGCCGAGTTCTTTCAACATCACGGTCAGGACTACTACGTGTGCTGTGCAGACTTCAACACCAAGGAAGTCGTGTTGGTGAGGCCTACAGACGTATCTACAGTCAGGAAAGCAGCATTCTTTAACGAGGTACATATTTGTTGTAAAATGTTGTAAAAAGGGGTAATACCTCAAATTTAGTACATGTCCTAAAATGACTGCTGTTACAACAACATCATAATAAACTTCATAGCCAAATTTAATAAATTTCTAAACACCAGATTAGCGACACATTTGTTCTGCTAATAGCCTCCATTATGCTGCAGTTTAAAATAGTAACATTTGAAGTCTGCATATGTGCAGTGGTTTAGACATTCCATAAACGTCATTATCATTACTTGGTTTTATGAGAATTCTGGCAGCCAGGAAAGATCTTTGAAGACAAGATGTCCTAGGTGATGCGGTTATTAAGTACCATTTAATATTCGGGAAAATCACCATTAGGCCACACCTATTTAATTTTATGGATGACATCCTCTGAAGACCTCCAAACTAGTGCGCGCGGGCTAATAAAATAAAATTCCGGCCAAAAATAAAATGCTTCAAAACCACAGGAATACACAGATGGTATTGTGAATTTGTGGCGGTAATAGCGACGTATACGACAAGCCGGTACATGCTGGGTTTTTGCGGAGTTAATGTACTGTACTGTACGTATGTACTGAGTTGTTGAGTCGTGGAGCTTCGGTAGCCTATGTGCCCAGCTCCGAATTGTCGCTACAACCATGGACTACCCAGGGATAGAGCTAGGCCAGAGCCTCGGTGGACGTGATCTTTTTTTTTTTTTGAGAACAGGCGAAAATTAATGCGCGCGCGGATGTCATCCATAAAATTAAGTCGGTGTAGCCTTATCATCATCATGCATCCATTTCATGGATATGAAATTGATGCTACGACCCTCATAGCAGTAAGGAACACAAAATACTGTTATTGAAATGTAGCTCTAGTATGTTGGAAGGAGATAATAACTTCTTTGTCAGTGTTCGGTTGTTTCACTATGATAGCCGTATTTCTAGTCTAGTCACTACAATAATGTTGAAATAGATTGTTCGTTCGTTTGTTGGAAATTTCTCCATAATACATTGTAAACTGTTCTAAACATTCATGTATAGGTACCATTTAGTGTCTTACTCTGGGCTAAACTCAAAGGCCATGACGCAGATGATATTACGTTAATATTTCCTTATGTCATAGGCCTTACGGAAACACGCCGAGGAACTACTGGTTATCCCGTTCTCTCAGCTGGCTGATGTAGGTGCTAAAGTGGCCAATGATGTCGCTCACA